AAAAAAAAAAAAAAAAGTTAATAATTAACTTTAAAGGTCAGATGAAATCCCCAGGCTAGGTGATTATAAGCTAAAGGCAATAATACTACAGAGTATAGAAAGAACTATGTGTGTTTTAGACTAAAGACCCTTGGAAATGAGACCATTACTAAATTGCTTTAATTTATATGTTGGTTATTGCCTGTAATTTTATTGATTTCTATGTTAATCTCAGCATGGCATGTAAGAGATTGGTTCTTTTAAGGCTTGAAATTTAGACTCTTACAGAACTACTTTTTATAAAAGTCTGACATGTATTTGAAAAGAATGTGTATTCTTTAATTGTAGGATGCAGCATTCATTCTATATGTACATTTAGTCAGTCTTGTTTATTATGTTGTTTAAAACTGACATATCCTTACTAACTTTTGAACTACTTAATCTGTTAGTTTCTGAGAGGTCTATTAAAAATCTTCAATTATAGAATTGTCCTTTTTTCTTGCTAGTTCTGTTAAATCACATTAAATACTTTCAGTTTTAACTGTTAAATATATACAAGCTCAGGATTGTTATTTTTTCCTGTTGACTTGTCCTTTTTCATTTTACATGTAATAATCTTAGTTCATTGGTTTGTAACAGTTTAGTGATATTTTAGCAGTCACAGCTTATTTCTATTCTATTGGGAGATAGATAATTTAAGTCCTGTGTATGCTGGTGTGAAGAAGTGTTACTGGGAGTCTCTAGATTAGAACAACCATCATGTATGGATGACATCACTTTTTCTGAGGGAAGAGGAAAAAAATCGTATGAAAGTGAAGTGGTGCTCTGTTCCATTTCTTTGCCTTGTTTTCAGCCCTTATATTTATTTGTATTTTCTTTTTTTTTTGAGACAGAGCCTCAAGCTGTCCCCCTGGGTAGAGTACCGTGGCATCACAGCTCATAGCAACCTCCAACTCCCCGGCTCAAGCAAGTCTCCTGTTTAAGCCTCCCAAGTAGCTGGGACTACCGGTGCCCACCAAAATGTATGGCTCTTTTTTTTGGTTGCAGCCATCATTGTTGTTTGGCAGGCCCGGGCTCGATTCAAACTCGCTGCCTTAGGTGTATGTGGCTGGCGCCTTAGCCACTTGAGCCACAGGCGCTGAGCCATTTATTTGTATTTTCAAAAAGCATAGCTGTGGAACATGAGATTTTATGTTCATTTTTGGAAATGGGTTTCAAAAGATTGAAAAGTACTATTCTGGGGCCAAAACCATTTTGAGAGAAAAAGAAGAAGAAAAATTTTTTTTTCATTCCAAGATTTTATTTAGAAAAGAGTGACAGTGCTAAGCAAAATATTTCTAAGCCAAGAACAAACACATTTAGGGCCCTAGGAATAAAACTGAAGTATTTAAAGGGCATTTTCTTTTTTTTTTTTGAGACAGAGCCTCAAGCTGTCCCCCTGGGTAGAGTGCCGTGGCATTACAGCTCACAGCAACCTCCAACTCCTAGGCTCAAGCGAGCCTCCTGCCTCCGCCTCCCAAGTAGCTGGGACCACAGGCGCCCACCACAGCGCCCGGCTATTTTTTGGTTGCAGCCGTCATTGTTGTTTGGCGGGTCCGGGCTGGGGATTCGAACCCGCCACCTTAGGTGTACGTGGCTGGCGCCTTAGCCGGTTGAGCTATAGGCGCCGAGCCTAAAGGGCATTTTCTAATAGAACTTCAGCTTACAATGTCTTGGAAATGATTGTCTAGTTCATTGGTTCTCAGCCACGGTTGATTCTCTCCATTCTCTGGGACATTTGGGAACATTTATAGATACTTTTGATTGTCACAAGGTCAGGGGTCCTTCTGGCATCTGGTGGATAGAAGCCAGGATACTACTAAACATTGAATAGTGAATAGGACAGATCCCCACAACAAACACTTATCCTGTCTAAAATGTCAGTAGTGGGCGGCACCTGTGGCTCAGTGAGTAGAGCACTGGTCCCGTATACCGAGAGTGGCGGGTTCAAACCCAGCCCTGGCCAAACTGCAACAAAAAAAATAGCTGGGCATTGTGGTGGGTGCCTGTAGTCCAGCTACTTGGGGGGCTGAGGCAAGAGAATTGCCTAAGCCCAAGAGCTGGAGGTTGCCGTGAGCTGTGACATCACAGTACTCTACTGAGGGTGACAAAGCGAGACTCTATCTCTTAAAAAAAAAAATGTCAATAGCACCACCAATGGAGTTGAGAAACTCCATTCTGACCTAGCCCCAGAAGGCGACATAACTCATGTCTGGTCCTGGGCGGTGGCTGGTAGGAAACCTGGGAAGAATGGATATTTCCGCCCAGGATATTCTCTGGTCTCTGTCTCCTCATCCAGAGAGTATGTGATACCTACAGTGTAAGCTTGCCAGTGATATATGGTGGGGAAGGGCAGGGCGTTGTATATTGTGGACCTCAACTTCATTTTTATGCAAACAGTACAGTAATTATGCTCATTTTCTTCTAGGAAATTGTTTACTACAGCGGGCAGCTGGAGCAGGAAATGAGGCAGCAGCTCTTTTCCTGGCAACCAATGGGGCCCATGTTAACCATAAAAACAAGTGGGTAAGTGTGACAGGGCAGCCAAGGGAAATGGTTTTGGTCTGTGGAAAAAATGGTAGTGGTAGATGTACAGGAAAAAATGAAAATAGATTCTTTCGTTCAACATTTGTCAAAATAATATATGTGGTTTTAAAAGTAGAGTGAAATAATTTCCTGTATGTATCCTTAAATTCTGGTTGACTGATTCATTCAGCAACCTAAGCATTTGTTGTGTATGTAGGATTAAGCACTGAACTATGTGCTGTAGTCTAATAGAGATAAGCATACATGCACATGTACCCAGTCTACCAGAGTAGCATCTTGATTCTTGATAATACTTGGCATTTGTGGAAACTTGTCCTGTGTCAGTGTTTACTTAGGAGTCTATGTTGCAAGTTCATAATTATGCCATTGAGTCTGGCTGGAGCCAAGTGGGAATCATCTAAGCAAGCAATGACCTGTCCTGAGCTCTCACACTAGATTTGTATCTTAAGGGACAGGTTTCAGAGTGACTTGCAAAAGTCCCTATAAAGTCAACAGGACATGATGTATGCTTATAGCATCCAGAAGCAAGGGCAAGGATGGTATTAAACTATTGTGTATACGTGAAAAGAAAGAGAGAACTAACAAGGAGGATGAACTGGAGGAGTAAATTCCATTGCAGTTGTTGAATTTCTTTCTAAACGTTCAGGCAAGGATGTCTAACAGGCAGTGGGAAAATTGGATGCAAAAACAAGGCTGGAGATGTGGGTTTGAGAGTCTCCCACTTGTCGACAGTGATAGAAGCCATGAAATAGATAAGCACACCCAGTGAGAACATGTAGGGGGAAGAAGGGCTGAAACAGAACACAGCCCTGGTGGACTCAGGAGGGCTCTGGCCACAATTAGAATGCCTCCAAAGGGAGAGTGGGGGATGGGGGTGGGAAGGTGGGTGTGCAGGTTGAGGAAAATAAAAGCACTCGGCTCGGCGCCTATAGCTCAACCAGCTAAGGCGCCAGCCACGTACACCTAAGGTGGCGGGTTCAAATCCCCAGCCCGGACCTGCCAAACAACAATGATGGCTGCAACCAAAAAATAGCCCGGTGTTGTGGCGGGCGCCTGTGGTCCCAGCTACTTGGGAGGTGGAGGCAGGAGACTCGCTTGAGCCCAAGAGTTGGAGGTTGCTGTGAGCTGTGATGCCACGGTACTCTACCCAGGGGGACAGCTTGAGGCTCTGTCTCAAAAAAAAAAAAAAAAAAAAGAAAATAAAAGCACTCAGTTCTTACCTACTGCCTTGGAAAGTCCCCCACACAATGCCACAAGCTGCAAAATTGAGAAGTGAGATTTACATAAACCCAGTTGAAAGAGTTAAAAGTGGTTCCCTCTGGAAGAGGAAAAAATTTTAAGGAAAAGGCAGAGGTGAAATCTTGCTGTTTTCTCAGTAAGCCTTGCAGAATTCTTGACTCTTTAAATGATGATGATGTGTAACTTTGATAAGAGCAAGGTACAGAGTGGTATATGCCATTTGTTTCCACTTTTGGGGGTGAAACAGATCCAGTGTGTGTAGGTATACATATATAGATGTACATCTAACAGAGGAATACATGCGTGTGTGTGTATGTGTGTGTTCCTGTGAGTTCTGTCTCTGGAGAGAAATGTGAAACTAGTAATAATGGTTCCTTTAGGGGAGGATAATTGAGTGGGTGCTGAGGGCCAGGCATGAGAGGAGACTTCTTTTCACTGTATATTTTTATACCTTTTGAATATTGAATCAAGTATCTATATACCTATTTAAGATGTTTTTAGTTTTTAAAAGTGGAGGAGGAAGGTCTTGGTAGGTCAGAGATACAAGGTATACAAGTGGAGCCTTAAAGAGAAGTGATGGTCGCACTGTTAACACTGCTTATCTCAGAGGCTGTGACTATTAGGCTCTCCCATTTTCTACAGTGTTTTAGTGACACTTGTATGCTGTTGTCATCGTATGCTGTTGTCATCATTGTTTTTATAACTAGAAAAATAATAATTATAAAAATAAAGAAAAGAGTGGTTAAGGAGGTCATAGGAGATGAAGAAGTTGGGAAGCCAGGGTTTGTGGAAGGTGCTTAGGGAAGACATTGAAGAAACTAAGGGTGATGGCTTAGGAGGAATAGGACAAGAGTCACAGAATTGGCTGGTGACAGTGTGAGCCAAGGGCTTTGACTAGAACTAGGGACCTAAGTTTTAACACTTAATGCTGTCATTCTTCCTTCGTGAAGAGCTTATAGATTCTTAGATTTGGGCCATTTGTTTCTATGCAGGGAGAAACCCCATTGCACACAGCTTGTCGGCATGGCCTGGCTAACCTTACTGCAGAGCTCCTACAGCAAGGTGCCAACCCAAATCTGCAGACAGAAGAAGCCCTTCCTTTGCCAAAGGAGTCTGCATCCCTACCCAGCTCAGCAGACAGTGTCTGTCTGCAGACTCCACTACACATGGCAATTGCCTATAATCATCCAGATGTGGTGTCTGTCATTCTGGAGCAGAAAGGTAGGTAGTTAGGAATACTGTCCATTAGTTTGACTTGTGGGCAATTGTTTGGGTAAATTATGAAGTTGATATTTCTCTATTCTTTGTATAGACAGTTTCTTACCCCAAAAAATCCTTTCAGTTCAAACTAAATAAGCATATAGTCTGGCTCTCAACTCTGTGTTTCCTTATGTATGTTTTGAGGATGGGGCCCTCCTATTTCACCTGTTAGGTTAAGATGTTAAAACGTTTTTATTTTGCTTCCCTTGTTTGGGATATTTTCCAGGACATTGTAATGTAGGTCAAACAAATGCTTTGCCTTTGCATGAGCATTGTCTTTGAAAACTCTGCTGTGGCAGGTCTTCTGAGTTGGTTGGTTCTTCATCTATCTCTGAGCCTCCCTGGCAGGTGACCCTTGACATGGAATACAGAAGCCCCTGCACTAAAGAAGCCCTATTTCTCTGAGGAAGTCCTTCTTAGGTTTACTCTTTCCTGTAATGAGATTTGTTTTACCTTTGCCTCAATTCTTAAGACTAGCATTTACAAAAATGTTTAAATTTATTTTATTTTATTTTTTAGAGATAGAGTCTTATTCTGTCACCCAGGCTGAAGCGCAGTAGTCTGATCATAGTTCATTGTGACCTCAAACTTCTGGGCTCAAGTGACCCTCCCACCTAAGCCTCCCAAATAACTGGAACTACAGACGCATACTACCTCATCTGGCAAAATTTTTAATTTTTGTTTGTTTGTTTTTGAGACAGAGTTGCACTCTGTTTCCCTGGGTAGAGTGCTATGGCATCATAGCTCATAGGAACCTCAAACTCTTGGGCTTAAGTGATCCTCTTGCCTCAGTCTCCTAAGTAGCTGGGACTACACACACCTGCACTACACCTGGGTAGTTTTTCTTTTCTTTTTTTTTTTGAGACAAGAGTCTCACTATGTCACCCTCAGTAGAGTGCCGTGGCATCACAGCTCACAGCAACCTCAAACTCTTGGGCTTAAGTGATTCTCTTGCCTTAGCCTCCGAAGTAGCTAGTACTGTAGGCATCCACCACACAATGCCCAGCTATTTTTTGTTGTTGTTGTTGTAGTTGTCTTTGTTTGGCAGGCCTTGGGCCGAGTTCGAACCTACCAGCCCTAGTGTATGTGGCTGGCTCCCTAGCTGCTGAGCTAAAGGCACTGAGCCTAGTTTTTCTATTTTTTTTTCTTTAAGTTTTTCTATTTTTAGTAGAGATAGGATCTAGCTCTTACTCAGGCTAGTCTCAAACTCCTGATCTCCTGCAATCCACCCACCTTGGCCTCCCAGAGTGCTGGGATTACCAGTGTGAGCCACTGTGCCTGCCTATTTTTTAATTTTTTGTAGAGATAAGGTCTTCCTATTATGCCCAGGCTGGTCTTGAACTCCTAGCCTCAAGTGATCCTCCTGCGTTAGCCTTCCAAAGTGCTAGGATTATAGGTGTGAGCCATTGTACCTAGCAAGGCCACATTTTTTAGCATTGTGCTGCTGGAGGCAAGTGGACTTTTTAGGTAAATTGTGCCTTTTTCTTGGTCCTCACATAAATTGTAAGACTGTAGGAATTGTGTATTAGGAAAACAAGGTCAGGGCATTGTTTGAACCCTCTTTTTCATTTTTTATTTTTATTTATTTTAACATTTATTTTATACTTTAAAATGTAATTATCTGGAATTTAGTAGTTAATACATTATAAAATGTGATGTCCAGTTAGCCACATTTCTGAAAATTTATTCAATTTTCATTTCTTTTTCTCCACCTATAATACTTGAACGCCTCTTTTTAGTAATAATTAGTAGTTAATGTGTATTTCCATATTGGAGTGTTTTTTCCTTATGTGAAAAGTCATTGTTTTAAGCTTTAAAAAGATTCATTTTCCCCATAAGCTTTGCTCCAAAGTATATTTCTGGGCTTCCACTCCTCATAAGGAGATTTATGTGTTCTCTGTATAGCCAGTAAGTTTGAAGCTGAGTTTTTATTTTCTTGAGTGTTTTACATGCAATCCATGGGATGGTAAAATCAATTATTCTTTTCCTTTAAAAAAAAAAAATTCAGCCAATGCTCTTCATGCCACCAACAACTTGCAAATTATTCCGGACTTCAGCCTCAAAGATTCCCGAGACCAGACTGTGTTGGGGCTGGCATTGTGGACTGGTAAGGCTGGTTGATGTGTGCAGACAAACAGATGTCAGAAAGGCAGGTGGGGGCGGTGCCTGTGACTCAATGGATAGGATGCCAGCCCCATATGCCGAGGGTGGTGAGTTTGAACCCGGCCCTGGCTAAACTGCAACAAAAAATAGCTGGGCATTGTGGCAGGCACCTGTAATCCCAGCTACTCAGGAGGCTGAGGCAAGAGAATCACCTAAGCCCAGGAGTTGGAGGTTACTGTGAGCTGTGACGCCACGGTACTCTACCGAGGGCAATTAAAAAAAAAAAAAAAGGCAGATGAGAAAGTGGGAAGTGGGAGGAGTGAGGATAATCATTTGGTTTTAAAGTAAGCTTTCTGTTTGTGTTAAGCCTGTAACATAGAATAGAAAACTGATTGCTTTGGGAGGTTGAGGGTATGTTTGAGAAGTGGGTATATTTATTGTAGTAAGATATTGAGGACGTGGGAAAAGCTAGCATGCATCAAAATCAGGGCTTGTTTATTTTGCAGGCATGCACACAATTGCAGCCCAGCTGCTGGGCTCTGGGGCTTCCATCAATGACACCATGTCAGACGGGCAGACCTTGCTGCACATGGCCATACAGCGGCAGGATAGCAAGAGTGCACTCTTTCTTCTGGAGCATCAGGCAGATATAAATGTCAGGTAGGATGAAACAGCAGTCTCCACTGTAACACCATGTCACAAAGAAGTGGTTCAAAAGCATAGCCTTGCTGTTAGGAAAAAATTTATTTTTTTTTTTTTGCAGTTTTTGGCCACGGCTGGGTTTGAACCCGCCACCTCCAGCATATGGGGCCGGTACCCTACTCCCTCAAGCCACAGATGCTGCCCTGAAAAATATTTTTTTTTAATTAAAGAAAGCAAGGGAAACAATAGGTCTAAGAAAGTACTAATGTAGTGTCATAATAGATATACTCAGTAGACTCATGTGATGGAGAAAGGAACTGTACTTTGTTCTTGTTTGAACCTTTCAGGACCAGTGCACAATATTATGCAAATCTCATTATAAAGGAAATCCAAAATCAGTCTTAACTAGGGTTTTAGTTTCAATGAAGAATATCCCAAAAAATGAGCAAATGAACAAAGCTTAAGAGGGAAAAACAAAGAGTCAAAAAGAAAACAGAAAAACAAACAGTCAAATTTTTATTATGATTATATTTTCTTTTTTTTTTTTTTTTTTTTGAGACGGAGCCTCAAGCTGTCCCCCTGGGTAGAGTGCCATGGCATCACAGCTCACAGCAACCTCCAACTCCTGGGCTCAAGCGAGTCTCATGCCTCAGCCTCCCAAGTAGCTGGGACTACAGGCACCCGCCACAACGCCCAGCTATTTTTTGGTTGCAGCCATCATTGTTGTTTGGCGGGCCGGGGCTGGGGATTCAAACCCACCACCTTAGGTATATGTGGCTGGCGCCTTAGCCGCTTGAGCCACAGGCGCCGAGCCTATGATTGTATTTTCAAAAGAACTTATCTTTATCTCCAAGTGACCCAAAATGACTGAGTAGGGGAAAGAAATATTTTGTCTTGTGGGTGGTTGGTAAAGTATTGTACTAAGATGCTTTTTAAAAGCAACTGCATTCGTATAAAATTTCAACACATTGGGATGTTGGGCAGTTATTTTCTAAGTACAGAAGATGACATAGCTATATTTTCTAAAAAGGAAGCGGGACGGGCATTATTAACAGATATAATTTCTCTGAGAAAGCACTAATGAATGTGAGTAAAGGATTACAATAGATTAGGCTCTGGAATGTCCAGGAGGCACTCTTTATTTATCCTTTAGCTCCAGTTACAAATGTTGGTTTGGGTTTATGTCCTCACAGGACTCAGGATGGGGAGACGGCCCTTCAGCTGGCCATCAGAAATCAGCTTCCACTTGTGGTTGATGCCATATGCACCCGGGGAGCTGACATGTCCGTGCCAGATGAAAAGGGAAACCCCCCACTGTGGCTTGCATTGGCAAACAGTTTGGAGGATATTGCATCCACTCTGGTGAGACAAGCCCGACTTTAGCCTCTGTTTATCTATGGGGGTATTTTGTGTCAGAGATGGATTTGATGCCTGCATAACAATCACAGGAGCAAGAGATCTGATGAGTAACAAGTTGGATCAAGGAAGAGTGGTTGAAAATTTTATTTAAAAACTTACAGTTCAACATGATCTTGGTCAGCACTTTTGTTTTTAGGTTGTCTTTACCAAGAAAACTACCAAGAAGCAAGAGAGTGGAGGCATTTCCCAAGGAGACTTCTCCTGGGGTGGGTTAATTTGATATAGGCTGCCCTCACCATCACCATAGTGATAAATTCCCAAATCTCAGGTTTATTTCCCTTATTTGCAAAACAAGCCCCCAAAGTGGAGATAAACCTGTTCTCATATAACTCTCCGTAGGGCTTGCAGTGTGACATTAAGGCATGCTGCACCTTGAGGTTTTACCCAGTTGTTATTGAGCTTGCCTGTTGATGTTTCTAGTGTTTGTCTTTGTCCGACAGTGTTTGTGAGTGACCTGTGTTTCTCTGCAGGTCAGACATGGTTGTGATGCCACGTGCTGGGGTCCCGGACCCAGTGGGTGCCTTCAGACACTCCTGCACAGAGCCATTGATGAAAACAATGAGTCTACCGCCTGCTTTCTTATTCGCAGGTCTGAGAAGCCCCAGTATCTCTTGAAATTTTCTTATTCAGCTTATGGGAAACTGGCCCTTTTTAAATTTTAATCCACTTACACTCTTGATATGTCTGTAATTGGCTTGACTTTCATAATTAAAACTGTCAGAGGGTCACTGTTCTGTCATTTTAAGTCAGCTGAGGGCCAGGCTTACTTGTGACGGGAGGAGCTTATATGCATGTATCAAGGAATCTAAAAGCTGAGCCCATGTCTGCTTTGGGAGCTGTAAGCCGTGTCAGATTAGTGCACACTGTGAGGTCAGGAGGCTGTGGTGGGGGAGGACCAGATGTTACAGACACCACAGACCTCTCAGAGTATGGGATATGTGGGAGCCTGGGCTATTCAGGAAACAGTTAGAGCAGTAGTTCTCAAATTTTACATGTGTGCACGCACCCCCGGAACAATTCTGATCCCCAGGGTGCCCCCAAGACCAGTTGCAGAAGAGTCTATAGGAATGGGACTCAGACTCCACTGTTTGAGGCTAAGGACTGAGGAGAGTAGACTATGGCGGCAGCTTTTTCGTGGCATTGCATGAAGCTGCTGCCGTACATCTGTCAGCATGTCTGTAGGTTAGGCAGAAGCATGGCCTTTGTTCTATTTCCCCGTTCCTTTCAGTGGCTGTGATGTGAACAGTCCCAGACAACCAGGTGCTAATGGAGAAGGAGAGGAAGAGGCTAGAGATGGGCAGACCCCCTTGCACTTGGCAGCCTCTTGGGGGCTGGAAGAGACAGTGCAGTGTCTTCTGGAGTTTGGTGCCAATGTAAATGCACAGGTATGTAGTCTCTCTTTTTAGGGAAATAGATGGTAGCCCAGAATTAGGAAGATATCCTCTTATGGCAAAGGACCTTACAGATTCCCTGGTCCCACTTTTCTTCTTTACCGTGAACAGGGCTGTGGTAGGACAGATAAAGTGATTTTTTTTTTTTTAGTTTTTGGTAGGGGCTGGGTTTGAACCCACCACCTCCGGCGTATGGGGCCAGTGCCTTACTCCTTTGAACCACAGGCACCACCCAGATAAAGTGATTTTTTGAGTCATATAGCCTGCCTTATACTTTGAATGATTTCATGTTAAGACTTTTTCTTCTCCATGCCTTTGTTCTTACTGCAGAATGAGGAAGATTTGTTTTCTTTCTTTTCTTTTTTTTTTGTTTTTGTTTTTGAGACAGAGTCTGTGTCACCCTAGGTAGAGTGCTGTGGCATCACAGCTCACAGCAACTCAAACTCTTGGGCTTAAGTGATTCTCTTACCTCAGCCTCCCAAATAGCTGGGACTACAGGCGCCTGCCACAACACCTGGCAATTTTGTTGTTGTTGTTTAGTAGGCTAGGGCCTGGTTTGAACCCACCAGCCCCCGTGCATGTGGCCAGCGTCCTAACCACTGAGCTATGGGCGCTGAGCCAGTTTAATTTATTTTTCTATGCTTCCTATTCCTCCTTTGTTATCTATTGAGAGTTTGGTTTAGTCCCAACTGAGTGCTTTGGTTAGGAAAATGTTCTAGTAGCTCAACTGAGCACCCCTGAGTTATGTTCCTTTATACTTTTCAGCATTCTAGCCCATGAAGATTTATGTACAGTGCCCTGTAAGGAGATGAGGAATAATAAAACTTAGAGCTGAGATTGGCTACAGATGTGTTTGTTCTGGGCCCACTGTTACCACTGAGACACTGGAGAATGGTCTAACAGAGTGGCTTTCAGCTGCTTCTGTGTTTGGCCCATTTAAAAGTTAAGTCAAACACAAGGTTGTAGTATGGATTCAAATAACCAAAATTTGATTTAAAAGTTATCCCGCTTCGGGCAGCGCCCGTGGCTCAGTGAGTATGGCACCAGCCCCATGTACCCAGGGTGGCAGGTTCAAACCTAGCCCCAGGCAAACTGCAACAAAAAATAGCCAGGCGGAGGCTCGGCGCCTGTGGCTCAAGCGGCTAAGGCGCCAGCCACATACACCTAAGGTGGCGGGTTCGAATCCCCAGCCCGGGCCTGCCAAACAACAATGATGGCTGCAACCAAAAAATGGCCAGGCGTTGTGGCGGGCGCCTGTAGTCCCAGCTACTTGGGAGGCTGAGGCAGGAGACTCGCTTGAGCCCAGGAGTTGGAGGTTGCTGTGAGCTGTGATGCCATGGCACTCTACCCAGGGGGACAGCTTGAGGCTCCGTCTCAAAAAAAAAAAAAAAAAAAAAAAAAAGCCAGGCGGTGTGGCAGGCAACTATGGTCCCAGCTACTTGGGAGGCTGAGGCCAGAGAATTGCCTAAGCCCAAGAGCTAGAGGTTGCTGTGAGCTGTGATGCTACAGCACTCTACTGAGGGCGACAAAGTGAGACTGTCTCTAAAAAAAAAAGTTATTTTTCTTGAGTTTTACTATTTTTCAATTGAATGTTGAAATCTATGCCTTGTACCCATAGGATGCAGAAGGAAGAACGCCTATCCACGTGGCCATCAGCAACCAACATGGTGTTATCATTCAGTTGTTGATTTCTCACCCTGACATCCACTTGAATGTACGAGACAGGCAAGGGCTGACCCCATTCGCCTGTGCCATGACTTACAAGAACAATAAGGCAGCTGAGGCCATTCTGAAACGAGAATCTGGGGCTGCTGAACAGGTGAGTGACCACCACCCAATGTTCTCCACGTTGCCCTGAGTATGGCAGAAACTGTTACATGGAGACTCAACAGGTTTCTTCTGTATAGAGACTTCTGTTTTAGAAATATACTCCTTTTTCTTAAAATCTGGCCATTCTGATGTCAAATTCAGTGTGAGTTTAGCTTTAGCTCCTCTGACCTGTGTGTCAGCCCAGGTGGTGTCATGCTTAAGTGGGAGTGGAGGTAACTGGGCTCTGCAGTAGAAATTCTGTGGCATGGACACCTGGGCTCATTCTTTATTTTTGCTTGGTTAATTTGCCTAAGTAACAGATATCTTTAAAAGATTTAAAATCACCTTGAGGGGCTAATGTTGTGACGTTGGGGTAACTTGCCAAGTATTTCAGAGGAGTTGTTATTCATCTTAGCAGGCTTGGTCATCCTGTTCTTTACAGGTGTTTACCAGCTGTTAAATCTGGATGGTGAATTGTTGATTGGCTGGGAAGCAGTAATAACAAACAACTGATCTGGGGTGTGAGCAGGGACAAATTTGTCAAGTCAGTTTTATTGAAATATGACCCTCTAGCCAGCACTTAGGATACTGCCAAGATTCATAAATAGCCACTTTGAAGGTAGAATAGGAGCTTGAGACCTGAATGAAATGAAATCCTAGGATGATTGAAGATTACTGCTTGGTGTGTCAGGTTTCTGCATTTTTGTTAGTGCTACTAGATTGTACAGGTGTTAACCTCACGTGTTCAGTCAGTGTAAAGTGTTCATGGATGGAGTTAAGTCATCTCACATTTCTTCTCTAGCTTGTATGACACTAGAGTGTTGATCTAAGCTTTGCAGATACTTTGCTTGCTAACTAGCACATGCTGTGGACATGAGGTGAGGTAGTTGCAGAACTAGGGTCTCCCTCACTCACAGCCAAGCACTCACACTAATGGGAGCTCTGGCAACTACAGTATACTGCACAGTTCATCTCCGTCTGCCTTAATGACAATGGAGCAAGGTCTGTGACATGCTGTTGGCTGCCCCGCCATTGTGTATTATCCTGCAGCTTAGTAAAAGAGGAAATTTTCTGTGCATTTCTGAAACCTTTGATCACTCAGAGGTTAGGCTGCCATTGCAGCTGTGGTGTTAGGATGCTGAGTGCTTGTTCTAGCCAAAGCAAAGAGACTCCTATGGCCCGTGTCCACTGTTACCTCTCTCTGAGTATCTTAATATTTTGGTGCCTCTCTCTCTTTCTTTTTTTTGATACAGAGCCTCAAGCTATTGCCCTCGGTAGAGTGCTGTGGCATCACAGCTCACAGCAACCTCCAGCTCCTGGGCTTAAGCGATTTTCTTGCGTCAGCCTCACAAGTAGCTGGGACTACAGGCGCTGGCCACAATGCCCGGCAATTTTTTGGTTGTAGTTGGAATTGTTTGGCAGGCCCAAGCCGGATTCAAACCCGCCAGCTCTGGTGTATGTGGCTGGCATCAGGCACCAGGCCTTTGGTCAAGCCGGATTCAAACCCGCCAGCTCTGGTG